AGTGTTGGAGGGGGTTCAGTGGGGGTACTCATGAGGTGAGGGCGGTGTTGGCTGCTGTCACAGTGGCAGGGCGATGCCTGGGAGTCTGGGCGTGGGTGGGCGGGATCTGGCACCAATCAATCAGCTGTGGATGCAGGTCAATTGGCTAGTTGGGAAGGTGACTAATCAGGGATGTGTCTGAGCTTCAGCGTTTGTGCTCTGCAAACACCCCCGGACATTTGCTGTTATGGCAAAACCCGCTCAGCAGGCTCAAAGATGGAGATCTGTCCATAAAGATCCAGACATATATCAAAGTTTTTGTTACTGAAATATGTCATAGTTCTGGGGATTGTCCCACTCAAACTCCTCAGAGATGACAAAGGACCAACCGTGGGTGTTAGAAAACTCTTATCTGGCCGTCCATCACCAACAAGAACAAAGGGGTAAACAAAGAAATTTATAATTCACCTGCAGGATGCTTTGGAGCTCACACACACCATGAAGTTGCCTGACCCCATGACTGTTGGCCCCTTACTGAAACTTAGTGGGGTTTTTTTGGTTAGCTTCTCCCAGTACCAAAAGACAGGAAGGGCCAATGAGAAATGAAAACCCTCAGACTAGTCCCCAGGGCAAATGGAGAGAGGCCAAGGCACTAGATCAGCCTCGTTGACAGGGCAGGCAGGCCAATGAGGGAGTCAGGTGCCAGTTCTCTGTGTGAGCTGGAGCTGCCTGCCAGAGAAGGGCAGAGCTAAGGGGAGAGGAGCAGCCAGAGCTGGGTCGGAGGCAGAGGAGTAGAAGCACTGATGCAGAGGGAAGCTGGGGCTGGAGCAGTCTGGAGCTGGGTGTGGTGAACAACTGGGGAGAGTGAGGGGGAACCCTGGGCAGCGTGGGATGACATCATGTTTTCCTTTCCCATTTTTTCCTTAATTTTTTTTATTACTTGCTGTTTAATAAATCGTATTTGTTCTGAACTTAATGCAATTCTGAATGGCGACATTAGGGATGCGTCCGGAGTGAAAAGAGCACCCCAGAGTGGGGATACGACACCCTAGCCTCTGTCCTGAGTGATAGCAACAAAATTGGGGATGAATGCCCTGCAGGAATCTTGGGGCCAGCCTCGTCGGGGTTTCAGACACCGGAGTGGAAGGGGAGTCCTCGAGGTCAGGCAGGTCTCCAGATAAAGGGAGTGGGAGCGAGTACTCAGCTCCTTCTGCTATTCGATTCTATCAGGGTGTGTATAAGCCAGAAGAGTTCCCCACAATACTAAGACCGTTTCCCCCGCTTACCTCTGTGCATATTTATTGGTTTCTCGTAAAGTTAGTTAGGATTACAGGGAAAAGTGTCAGAGCGGCCACCAGTGAGAGTTGCTGGCCACACACTGAGGCCACCAAATTTGGTTGTGAGAACCCCTGGGC